CGCCACCCGTGCCCCGCTGCTACCCCAGCTCCTGGCCCACGTCCGCCTGCCCTTTGTGCGCCGCTTCTACCTGCTGGCCCACGTGGAGAGCGAGCCGCTGGTGGCCCGCTGCCCGCCCTGCCTGCGCCTCCTGCGCGAGGCCCGCGACTTTCAGGCTGCCCGTCTCGACCGCCACGACCGGGGGCCCTGCGCCCGCATGCGCCCCCGGCCCTCCACCGGCCTCGCTGAGATCCTCGTCCTTGTTGGCGGCTGCGACCGCGACTGTGACGAGCTCGTCACCGTCGACTGCTACAACCCGCGCACCGGCCACTGGCGCTACTTGGCCGAGTTCCCTGAGCACCTGGGCGGGGGCTACAGCGTTGCTGCGCTGGGCAACGACATCTATGTCACTGGTAAGGCACACGGGGTGTGAGGGTACCCGCTAGGGTGCAGATTTCTCTTGAAAATATGTGGGTTCTAGCAGTGAGACTTGGCCTTTCCTGGGAAGCAGAGAGTTTGGGACTAAGCTTGGGTGCCTGCAGCCTGCTGGCAGGCATGGAGACTTCTGGAGTTGGTGCTGGATTTAGCAGCTGGTCTCAGTCCAGGAGCTATTTTGTCATGACTAATGCTGCTGAGCACGTGGGCAGAAGTCACAGATCTTGTAGTTAGAATTTTCTAACTGTCACTCTGGGGGATATGGGTTACTTTAAGAGGGTTTTGAGTTTCTCTCTGTGAAGAAGGTGTTTGGTTTCAGAGCCCTGTGAATCACAAGCCAGGCCACTTGCTTGAGGCATAGGTGTGTCAGAAAGCCCCGGGTTCCTTAGCCAGCCCCCGTGAGTCACAGTACCTTCCTCAGCACAAATCCTGCCTCCTTGCAGTCCGCTGGGGCTACAATTACTTCTGTCAAGGTGACACCGATGTATAAATTCAGCTGTTAATCTGTATGCAGATGCCTCCTTTGAACTACATCCCCATAGCTGGAGCGGCAGCCCTGCACCGGCTGTAACAAACCCAGGAAACCAGGCTCTGCGGAACAGCATGCCCTGGGTGTGCAGGACACGCTGGCAGAGTTTTGAAGGGCAGGTCTTACGCAGTTGATCAGAAAACTCTGTGTTCTTTAGTCACAAGCAGAAAACAAGGCTCTGCTTTAAGGGCAGGGTCGTAAAAATGGCTCCTTTGGTACAGATGCCCTTACATCCCTTGGGAGCTTCCTGGAGTGATCCCTGGTGGGTCTGTGGAGACCAGTCCTGCCAAGAGCCATTTGCGAGGCTGCTGCTGGGGATTTTGGGTCGTTCTACTTAGTGTCAGTGTGTTGCAGGCAGGGCCAGGAGGTTCCCAAGCTGCCGTTGGTGCTGCTGCCTCAGCAGCTTCTGGGCAGCCACGGAGCAGGGGCCACAAAATGGGACAGAAGTGGGAGTTTAGAGGATGGAGGTGGTGAAACTTGGGAGACTCGTTTTGATTCATGGCTGAGTATGGACTAGGGAGGACGTGGGAGAAATCCTTCCTGGCTCGCTGGAAACAGTGCAAAACTTGCATGAAAATTCTCATGGCACGCACTAGTGCCACCCCCCAGAACCAAAATGCTGCCCCATCGTACAGCCCAGGGCAGCAGGAGGGGCTGTATGCGGAAGGTGTAGCTGCAGCTGTAGCAAAGGTGCTGGTGTTGAGCCAAGTGCTCTGCACCGTCGCCCTTGGCTGTGCAGAGCCCGACTCTGACACGTGTCGTGCTGTGCCACAGGGGGCTCAGACGGGTCCAGGCTGTACGACTGCGTCTGGAGGTACAATTCCAGCGTGAACGAGTGGACGGAGGTGTCGCCCATGCTGAAAGCCAGGGAATACCACAGCTCCACAGTCCTGGATGGACTGCTCTACGTAGTTGCCTCCGACAGCACAGAGCGCTACGACCACACGCTGGACAGCTGGGAAGCCCTGCAGCCCATGCTGTACCCCATGGACAACTGCTCCACCACCTCGTGCCGCGGGAAGCTGTTCGCCATCGGCTCCCTGGCTGGAAAAGAGTCCATGGTCATGCAGTGCTACGATCCCGACAGTGACCTCTGGTCCCTTGTCAACTGCGGCCACCTGCCCCCCTGGTCCTTTGCCCCAAAAACTGTCACGCTCAATGGCCTCATGTACTTCATAAGGTGAGTAGTGGGAGCCATCACCTCCCTCCCGTGTCCCCGTGGGGAGGGCCTGGAGCTTCCCTGGGAAGGTGTGTGGGATTTTGGAGGTATTGGAGGGAGGGCACTGTGCTGGGACAGCACTGCAGTGCTTCCCCTGATGGTACTGGTGGGGCTACCCTTAAAATTGTGTAAAAATGTCTGAGTGTAACCTCGGGCTGGGGAACAGCCAGGTGTAAATCTGGCTGAAGTCAGCAGCGCTGCTTGGAAATTGGCTTCTCGGATTCCTTGGCTCCTGGTTCAGCCCCCCTCGCTGCTATAAATAAGCACATAAGCTCCAAGAAAACATTAAACTGTAGCGCAGGAGAGGACATCTTCCGTCTCAGCAGCGATAAGAAGGCTGAAGATGAAGTGATTGGTCACTATTTTTAAGTGCCTTTCCAAACTGGGACTTAATTACCCATCTGAAGCTGTCCTGATGGCGCAGATACTTCAGTTATCCGCTTAATTAAAAATAAACGGGAAGGCATGCTGGGGCTGGAGCATTTCATCTCCCTCCCTGTGTTGACTCTGAGCAAACAGAGACTTCTGTGAGGGCCTCCAGCCACTTCTCTTTTTTTAATCTCCTCTTGGCTTTGCATAAAGCAGCAGCTTTGGCCCAAGACCTTTTATTTGATCCCTTTGGGTCCAGCTGAGTGTCTTGCTGGCATCTCTTTGAGTCACCTGGTTTCAGTCTGTCCTGCCGGGGTGTTGCAGCTGTTCAGCTCCTTGTCACAAGCTGATTCCATAGAATTTCCTTTTTCTTACCCCTTTAAAATACTGATGGTTGACAGTTCAGGATTTTGGATTGCTTGTACATCTACAGGAGTCAGTGAGGAGATGATCAGGGTCAGGTGTTCTCCCCTCATTTCATGTGCTGTGCATGGGCTGCTGCTCCGTGTAGAGCTATGGGATAATCTTTGGAGGGCAGAGGAGTAGGTAACAAGTAGAAATGGCAAATTCAGTTTTTGGTTTGTTTTAAGAGCTTAGACTAAAGCCTCTGAGTGATGATCCCTTGTGCTGGGACTGGTTTCATACCAGTAAATGTAGCACAGCAGTGAGGCTCAGGCATTCTCTGCAGCCACCCTAGAGCCGATCTGGAGCCGACCCTGCCTGGAGCTGCCTCACAGCCTCTTGATTCCGTCTGTACCAGAACTGTCTTGGAAGGACTGACAGCTCCTCTTCAGCTGCCCTGACCTTGTCCTCCTCACATTCTTGTGTCGGTGTCTCTGTGTCGCAAACGCCCCTCACCTGTCACTGTCGCCCTCCTGTCTGGCAAGTGGGGCGGGTGAGAGAAGCCTTGGGGGATTATGATGTCCCTCTAGCTCTTCTCTCATCCCACCCACCTAAATTTGGCATTGGCGAAGAACTCAAGCAGAGTTTCTAGAATGCAGAAGAGTAATTTTGTGTTCTCTTCCCCAGAGACGACTCGGCTGAAGTGGATGTTTACAATCCAGCAAAGAATGAATGGGATAAAATCCCTGCCATGCTTCAGGTAGGACGTTTGCCATCCTCCAGGGTGCCTTAAGTATTACAAATGGGTTTCATTTACCTTTGGAAAATGAAGAGCTCTTTTGATCAGAACCCCTTGCACGTGGAGCAGGTTTAAATGTACCGGAGTCATGGGGAAAACAAAGTCCTGAATGTGGCAGCATGTCCGGGTGTTCAGCCCAGCATGTGAGAGCTGTGGGCAGTGCTGCTTCAGAGCCTGAGCTGCCACTGACGGGCATGGAGCCTCCTCCAAGGAGCAGCTGCCAGACTGCACCCACCCCCTCAATCAGCTGCCAGATTGGGCAAACACCCCTGATTGTGGTGTGTATTTATTGTTACTTTGCAGGTTCACGTTGGGGGAAGTGTGGCCGTGCTTGGCGGGAAGCTCTACGTCTCCGGGGGCTATGATAACACGTTTGAACTCTCAGATGTCCTGGAAGCCTATGACCCCGAGACACGAACGTGGAGCGTGGTGGGCCGGCTCCCCGAGCCCATCTTCTGGCACGGCAGCGTCAGCATATTCCGGCAGTTCATGCCAGAAACCCCACAGGAGGACGACAGCATCACGCTGGACAACACCATCAGCTTGAGCAGGCAGACCCAAAACCTTCACAACCAGAACCTCAATGAACTGCCTTAGCACAGGAAGCAGCCTGACATAAGTCCCTCATCCAGAACCTGGGCTGCTTCAGGAAAAGGCTGAGGCAAACCAGTGCTTGGAAACAAAACCGTAGTGATCACAGAGGGAATGGGAACTCTGGCTGTTGGATGTGCTGCTGTGTGACCGCAGGCAGTGAGGCCTCTGCTGCTCCCTCAGCCCTTCGCTGCCCGCAGGGACCCGAGACCCCCAGGGAAAATGATCGCACTGACCCGCGCCACAGCACCACCACTGACAGCTTGTGACCAGACACCTTTCACTGGGAGCTCCTTCACCCCACAATACTTTGTTTGCCACCAAACTGCTTCCTTCAGTTTCTTTTTCGGGAGGGGTCTGTCTGGTAAGACAGTGGTCTGGACCCCCCCTCTATTCTGTGCCTCGGAGGGAGACAGGCTTTCTGTGCACGTGTTGGGATTGAAAGGTAGTTATTTTAGGGGGTTTTTTTCTTTTTGTTTGGGGTTTGCATATTTTTTGGCCTATGTAAGATTTGCCTTTATACTTGCCCAAGTGCCCTGGCCAGGTGGGCTGTTTATCTACCTTTGCTGAAGAGCAGCTGCGTGGTTTATTTGTGGAATGTTTCTGGAACAAGCAGAGGCCGAACCTGTGGCACGGCTCCCCAGGAGTGAGTGTTACATCTTCAGGAGAACCTTGAAGTGTGACAGCAGCTCAGGTGTGGCTGGATGCATTTGCTTTTTTGGTCTTTTATTTTTAACCAATAGAAGAGAAGTCTGTATTTTAAACTGAATTCAGAGATGGAAAGCCCGCATACCCAATCACTGCACTCCTCAGCCAGGGGGAACCCGCGCTGTTCCTCAGTCTGGAACACTGACAGTGCCTTGAGACCACGCGCTGGGGTGCAGCCCGTGGGCCCCTGTGGGCAGAGCCTGGCAGGGGGGACACTGGGGCCTGCAATTCGGAGCATCTGCTGCTTTTCTGGGAGCAGCCTGTCCGTGCTGTGCCGTGCCTGCGGAGAGCCGGACGGCGCTGCAGCCCGAGATATTTCTGCTGAGCTATAAATAGTGCTCGCTGCTGGACCCCCAGCCCCACCCGCTGAGCAGCTACAGATAACTATTTATTTTTTGTAGAATTCATTGTGTTGAATCCTCCAGTACAGTTGAACTCCATCCTTTGAAACAAAGGCATTTTACATTTGCAGATAATGTATTTTTATTCTCATAGTTTGTTTTTAAATTTACTTGCAGCTGTCAAGTTAAATAAAACCTGTTACACAATTCTGTCGTCTGAGAAGGGAAAGGGCCTGGAGTGAAATTTTAGTGGGACTGTCTCATTCTGGGAACGCTTAAAACAGAGCCTCTCTGCCTCCTTGGTGAGTAGAGGGGGAAGGCAGAGAGAGCATGGCTGAGACTCTGGGGGTGAGGGTACACACAGGGATCTCCCCCACCCTGGCACCACTCAGGAAATGGTTATAACTCCCCCAGCAACCCTGGATCGTGTTATTTGGGACAGAGATAAGTCCCTACCCCTGACCACAGGAGTTCAGGCACTGTGTGGCTGCTGAAGTGTGTTTCAAGTGAACTTGCAGCTCCATTATCTTAATGCTGAGCAGACACAGGTCCTGCCCCTCCTGTAATGGGGGAAAGAAACAGCAACTGACAGAAGCTTGACAAAATAAAGGAGAAATAAGGCACAAGTTTAACGGAGGAAACAATCCTTTCACATGCGTTAAAGGAAAGGGCAGAGCTGCTCTCTCTGGGGGAAGTTGAGCTTTAATCTTTAATCAGGAGCAGGGTAAGAGGGCTGGAGGAAAGGGGCTCCTCCGGCACCAGCTCCTCCGGTGTCAGAAAGTGATTCACAGTATGACACAAGCAGGTCAGTCCAATCCCCCTGCACGGTGCACAGACACTGACTGGAGTGGCCCTTTTGCACCATTTCTTCATTTGACACTCAATCACATCATCATGGTGACTTCCCTGTAGTCTGGGATGAGAGACTGGCAGGGAAGAAGGGGAGGGGACGGATGCACAACTCGAAAGAACAAGTGTGGCAGAGATTGGCTCAGCCCAGACTTTACTGTGTTTCAGTGGAAGGGTGGCTGCACTACGTTTCACAGTCTTCAGGAATCGTTGTCGTTATAATCAGAGATTGCTCAATCACATCCGCCGTGGAGAAGTTCTCGTCTGAGCACAGTCTCTGCGCAGGAACCTCCTCGGGCAGCGGCCTGTGGGCCAGTGACTCCACAATCACCTCGGCCGAGCCCACCTCCAGCTCTGGTGGCGGCTGCAGCACCACCATCACATCCTTCTCGTCCTCGATGATCAAGTTCCTCAGCTTCCGCTGCCGTGGGTTGTAGTTCTCCACGCGGTCGTGGATCTCCATGTGGCGCCTCAAGTGAGCCTGTGAAGGAAGGGACGTGCAGAGGGGCCTGGTGAGGGCCGGCTCCCTGGCACAGCCCAGAGGCCCCAGAGCTGGGGAAGGCCTCACCTGCCGCGTGAACTTGTAGCCACACTCAGTGCACTCAAACTTCCTCACGCCCTTGTGCCGGCGGATATGGACGCGCAGCTGTTCCACTGCTGGGAAGGGAAGTGAGAGCCCGTGGGCAGCAGCTCCACACTGTACCTGCTCACAGTGATGGCAAGCTGCCCGCGGGAAGGAGGCGGCTCCTGTGGAGCCCTGTGAAAGCCGGAGCCCCAGCGTTACCTTTGAACGTCTTCCCGCAGATGTGGCAGAAGTGGGGCCGCCCCTCCTGGTGCCGGCTGGCGATGTGTCTCAGCAGCGGCCCCTTCTCCGTGAAACGCTGCTCACAAAACTCACAGCTGAATGGCCGCTCGCCGGTGTGCGTCCGGTTGTGCTTGTCCAGGCTCGCTGCCATTATCAGGGGCAGAGAGGGGGAGAGCAGCCAGTCAGTGGCATGGCACGTGCCCCCCATCCCAGCGACCGGGCCAGAAAGGCAAGTGCAGCATAAGCTCCAGGTAAAGGTCATGGGAAACACCAGCTTGTTCCCCTTCTGTGCCACAAGGGCAGTGGAGGTGACTTGGTGTCAGCCTGCACTCACAAGAGCATGGCTTTGCTCCTGGGGAAGCTGCTTTCTGGAGGTCCTGGATGCCAGAGCATGGCGCTTGGTACCAGCAGCACCCAGGGGTACCTTGTGTCCGGAAGGTCTTGCCGCAAAGGTGGCACTGGAAGGGCTTCTCGCCAGTGTGTGTGCGCAGGTGCATGTTGAGGTTGGCTTTCTGCGTGAAGGCGTGGTGGCAGAACTCACACACATAGGGCCGCTCGTTTCTGTGGGCAGGGAAAACTCACCATGACTTCTCCCTCCACTGGTTTCAGCCCCTTGGGTCTCAGCCCAGCACCTCCGGGAAGGGAGCACTCCCTTCAGCCAACCCCCAGTCCTATAGGGGAGGGAGCACAGCCGGAAGAGCCAGGGTGACACAAGGGAGGATGCGGGTCACATCGTACCTGTGCTTGGCCTTGATGTGCATCTGCAGGCCATTGCGGCTCGAGGCCCTGTGCCCGCACTCCTCACACACAAACAGCTTCTCTCCGCGGTGCTTGAAGGCCTCATGCAGGCGCAGCTCTGTCCGGGACAGAAAGCACTTGGAGCAGGTTGAGCACTGCAAGGCCACAGGAGAGGGGGGTTAGGGTACACCCACACCAGACCCACTTGTGCCCAACACCTGGCACTCCCCTGGCTGCTCCAGAGCCCTTCCCACGGCAGCCACAGCAGCACCCCTGGCCTCAGAGACACCCAGTGAGATGGGACAGCCCAAGAGGCAAAATGCTGGTCAGTGCTCAGGTCTATCAGCTGCCCCTGTACACAAAAAAGCCTGTTTCCAGCAGCTCTGTGTCCCCCTGCCTCACTAACAGAGCAGACGGGCCATGGGCACTATTCCCTAGGTCAGGTGTGTGTGCAGGATCATCCCCTTCCCGATACCCTGGTCCCTACCGCGTGGGGCTTGGGTGCACCATGCAGCTTTATCATGTGGCTCTGAAGATCCTTCTTCTGCATGAACTGCTGCGAGCATGAGGAGCACTGCGAGAAAAGAGAGGGAGGTCAGCTTCCAGTTGCCCCCAAAGAGTGGTTTCAGAGCAAGGAGGACCAGTGGGGGAGCAGAACAGATTCCTCGTACGGCTGCAAGAAGCACGTGGTTGTGGTGTCTCCCTGGAGCACGTTCCAGCTCAGAGACAGAGAATGACCCTTAGTGGGCTGTCACAGACGGGGGAAGGAAGCTGGGGGGCTCAGCTCCCCGATGGGCTTGGCCAGGCTGCCCCAGAAGGCAAACACTCACCCCCACTCTGTGCCAGTGTCCAGCAGCATCCACGGGGATGCCGGATGCCGGCACTGCTCACCTTGTATGGCATTTCCCCGGTGTGCGACACCATGTGCAGCCGCAGCTCCATCCGCCGCTTGAACACCTCCGGGCACGCTGAGCACGTGAACACCTACGAGAGACAGGGCGGCATCAGCTTCTGCAGGAGCCCGAGCCCAGCCCGGAGCCCGCAGCTCAGCCCCTGCCAGGCACGTGGCACAGCGCTCAGCCTGCACCCGCAGGACCCGTGTCTTGTGCAGCACAGAGTGTCCTGGCACGCTGGAACACACAGAGTGAAGGTTGTGTGGCACATCGGGCACAAGCTGATACCGTCCTGGTCCCGGCCGTGGGGGTCCCAGCCACAGGGACCCCGGCTATGGAATGTGTGCCATGCGGTGCTGATAGGTGTCTGTTCAGAGCTGAGCATGGCCTGGGGCTCGGAAAAGGCTCCAGTTCCCTTCCTGATGGATGGCAGCTGCACTCCAGCCCAGTGGGGCAGCTCCTGGGAGTACCTGTTCTGATCGGTTCATGCAGTTCCTGGCTTCATGTTCCATGAGATTCTCTTTTCTAAAGTAACATTTGCCACACTTGGAACACTCAAATGGCTTCTCTCCAGTATGTTTCCTGGGGGGATACAAATGGAGAACCCCATCACTGCCTGTCCAACAGCAGATGCACAGACAGGTGTGGGAGGACACAGGGAAAGGTGAGGCAGGTTCTTGCCCATGTTCCCCCAGTGCCACTATTCACAGTCACCCTAAAGCTGCTTTTATGTCACTTTCGGGGCCCCTCAGAGCGTGGTCAGGCTGTCAGTGCCCACTGTGCTCCACAGAATCTTGATTCTGCAGGGCCAAGGTTTGCCCCCACACAGGACTGAGGTGAAATTCGAGACCTCAGGGCAGGGCCCTGCCCTGCTTTCAGAGATCCAGCCCAGAGATCCTCACAGAGCTCGGCTACATGTTCCCCACAGCCCTTGAAATCCAGCCCAGCCCGGGCTGATCTGACAGCCCACAAGGATGATTTGCCATTGCCCACCTGCAGCCAGCACAGCCCCTGAGGAGCCCCCACTGCCGCCTTCCTGAGCCACCGCCCAGGACAGTCACTGCAGCTCTGATATGTTTCAGAGACATATAATCCCCCCCACAGGTCAGAGCACCCCCAGGGGCAGAGGGGACCCTCCTTTCCATCCCGGGGAATGGCGTTGGGACCAGCTGGCAAAACTGTGGTCGCCCTTTCCCCCCCGGGAAGGGACTGAGCCGCGGGGGCGGCGCATCCTCCGCGCGCGCAAGAGGAAGGAGAAGTCGGAGCGTTTACCTGTTGTGCACTTTAAGGTAATATTTGCTGAGGAAGGTTTTATGACATGTGGGGCACTCTACCGGCACCGCTGTACCTTTTCTGCTTCCCGGGGCGGGGGGGCTCTTTTTGCTCCGCAGCGCCT